CCACTTGCTGCTGCTGGGGAGGAGTTTTGGGAGGTTTCCACAGTTCCTTAGGTATTCCTGTGGGGAATTTGTTGAGGGGTCACCCAGGGATGAAGGTCTCCAGGGGTTCCTGCCTTGGAGAGGGGAAACTGAGGCATGGGGCAGGTTTGGGGGGGCTCAACCCCTTCTCCCTCCCCACTTGAGTTTTGTGGTTGTGCTGCTTTTGGTTATTTCTCTTGCTTTCTGCAAGGCACTAGTTCCACAGCTCCATTCTGCCTCCTTGGTCCTTGCATTTGGGTGGCATTTGAGAAGTGGATGGGAAAATAGGAAGACAAAATGTGGGGCTTGGTGCTCCCTCAGCTCCAATCCCCCTCCCTCTAGCAGGGAGACAGGGAATTCCCACCCATTTTCCCCTTTTATGATGTTTTGGGGCTCTGAAGCCAGGAGTGTGGACGCACATTCTGAGCCACTGGGCTCCCTTCTTTATCGGGGGCTCTTCCCATTCCCCCCCCATGAATCCCTAACAGACCTGCTGAGGTAACTACTGAGACCCCCCAACGTGAGAGGTCCATGGGGTGAAATCAGTCCTGGGGATGGAGGGAGAAGTGCAGAGGTGGGAATGGAGAGAGATGGAGGGTCCAGAGAAGGGCACCGGAGCTGGTGCAGAGCCTGGAGCACAAGTGTGATGGGGAAGGGCTGAGGGACCTGGGGGTTTAGTGTGGAGAAGAGAAGGCTCAGGGGGGACCTGATCGCTCTCTGCAACTGCCTGACAGGAGGATGGAGCCAGGAGGGGGCTGGTCTCTGCTCCCAAGGAACAAGGGATGGGACAAGAGGACACGGCCTCAAGCTGCCCCAGGGCAGGTTTAGCTGGAGCTGAGGAACAATTCCTTGCCCAGGGGGTGCTCAGGCATTGGAACAGGCTGCCCAGGGCCGGGCTGGAGTCACCGTCCCTGCAAGTTGAGGCCGCAGTGCCAGGGGTTAGTGGTGGCCTTGGCAGCGCTGGAGTAAAGGTTGGACTGGATGAGCTTAAAGGTCTTTCCAACCTGGTTGATCCTATGATTCTCTGTTCCCCTCAATCCATGTCCGGCTGTGCTGTCCCCCTCCTGCTGGGATGCTCCCATCTTGGCCTCCCATTTGCTCCAGGCTCCCCAGCTTTGCCACGTGCCCATCCCACTATCCCAGCAGCTCATCCATACGGGGATGCTCCTCCCAGCAGCTCTGGGGATGTTGGGGGTCAGGGACACCCCTGTGAGACTGGGGGGGCTGTGCTGGGCTCTCCCCCACCTCGCTTTGAGGGCTCTGAGCTTTGACCTTGGCAGAGGTCAACATGGAGCTTGATCCCAGGGGATGTTGAGGCTCTCCCAGATGAAGGAAGAGCAGTGCTGGGTCTTTCCCATTGCTCTGGGTGCAGTCCACTTAGGAAGTGGATTTCCCTGTTTCCTTCTTGGTTGGCGAGCTCTGCTGTGCGGAGGGAATGGCTTCTGCTCCCAGCATCCCCTTATCTGATGGAGCGCTGGGATGAGCTCCCTGCTTCCTCCCAAGTGGATTTTCTCGCTGTGCCCGGATTGCTTTGGCCTGTGGAGAGTTGCTCAAGGGTGATGGAAACAGCCCCATCCCTTTTGATCTTTAGTCCCAAGAGGCAGCATT